TATTGTTAGTGAAGTTGACGGTAACTTTGAAGTTAGTTTGTTCCTGTTCCGTAGTTAAAGTTGTACCGAGTGGAATAAAAGTTGTAAGCTGAAGAAAGAGTTGAATAATCGGCCATCCACGGTACAATATTTTGAATCCGCCTGATTCCTTAGACCGCCAAGATTCCAGACTAGCAAAAAGTTGAACGTGTAAGCAATCGATGACTTTCTGGAAAATGGGGCTTTAAAAATATTATATCGCGAAACGTGCCATCCAGATAAATTCTCAAACTGCGCTCTATACACAAGTCACGTGCTCACGTTGTATATACTTCCTCAAGGGGTTGATTTTGCGATGGACCTTTTAATGGCAAATGCCACGTAATCCCTGGACACCTGCTCGATATCAACCTTTGAAAGTGCTCCAGATCAATCCAGAAAACTGATCCCACTCTATGGGTTTAATTTGCTGATTATTGCTGGTAAAATCTCCTAGGTCTCGATCATCTGAAAGGACAGGAGTTGGAACATTTTCCTTGTTAAGTAATTACAAGATTCCTGCTTGATAGAAAAAATGGGCTTCCCCATAACTCAGCGCCGGTTTTTGCCCAATAAAAACCCAGCTGTTCTTCGGGACCTTAGTTGGAGCCGATCCAAGTGCATAAAGCATCGGATTTAGCCTGCTTTCTTGGCAGGATCGTTCAGGAGGTTTTGCAAGCAATGACCGTCATTAGACCGAGAAGAATGCACACATGCAGATATCGGTAAATTCTGCACGTACAACCGAAACGTGCCTCGTATTCCCAGATAATGCAACAGATTTGGGGCGACAAAAAATTGCGTTGTGCTCATTGTGCAACTTTTACGGGACCGAGTGCTAAATTGCAAAAGGCAGCACAATTTCATCACATTTCGTACATAAACCATCACGTTTAAATATTTAACAATAAAAGTCCACAGAGCTTTAAATGTTCGCCGTTTAAAACACATTTCCCTACCGCTCTGTCATGCATTATTTAGAGTTTGAGTGATATTTCTGTTACATTTCCATAATAAATGCGGAATATGTATTTTTTGCCATTTTGGCTAATATCCATATGGAAACAGCTGCTCTATGTGTTCGGATAAGCGCATTCTAACAATTTATGCGGAAGTGTCCAATGTGGTCAATGAAAATTGTACATTCAATGTACTTGAATTGTTTATTTAAGTCGAGCATTTTTTTGGGATAGCCAAAAATTATTGTTCGTCCGAAACTCAACTAACACCCAGTTAAAATTTTGGCACCTTATAGAAGAGACTTGAGGACACAATCTAGCAAATTCTCACTTAAATCGCGTTAAATCCTGGTTTTTTTCGCCGGTGAGAATCGTGAGCGACAAATGAAAGCTTTCTCTCAACTGTGCCTTCGAAAATTTGTAAATTTCTAGCCAGAGCAAATACACAGTTGAAATTTGCGGTTCTTGTTTAAGACGCCTAAGGCCAAAGACTAGCAACTTCTCACTAGATTCGCACGAAATCCCGATTTTTTCCGACCTTCTAAATGATCAGCAACAAATGAACATTTTGCTTAACTGCTATCCTGGGATAAAAGTAAAGAGTTTTGTATTTCATATCTGGGGCATTTAGCGGGTTTTTCAATAAGCTCTTTGCTTTTGTAGCTTCCTTGAGATGAAAATACGGTAGAATTCGAGGTATTTTGAGAGCCGATTTGATAATTTTTCAAAAATTCGTAACGTGGCAGCCAGAGTAGGAACCCAGTTGAAATTGAAACAAATGCACGTAATCAGTCAACTGCAACATTCCTTCCATAATGAAAGGCAACGTGAACACGCACTCTCAAAGACACTTGAGATTCAACCCTGAGTAAAAAATGACTGTACTTAAAATTCTTTAACTTTCCCAGTTAAAAACTATGCTTGGAATTGTAAGTTTTTAGGACGCAAAGTTTTCCGTACAAGCATGTCGACCGGTAGAAAGCATTGGCATTGAACTTGGGCTGGTCCCTTGTGTAAAAATTGGCCAGTAGAATGTTCCGATTGCCCGTGATTGGGACTACATTTACCAATGGCATAGTAAATCAACCGCATAGTAAAATATTATGAAACAACCGAAAAAAATATATCTTGGGCGAGGAAAAGGGCGTTTGAACCTTGAAAGCAATTGTTTGGAAGTGGTGAACAATTTTGCAATTGGTGGCCAAAAATAGACGCCTACTGAACCACACTTCATTATTGAATTGGCGAGTTTCTACGAGTCCAATTAATAATCTGCATCGAATTTTTTGAGAAAAACTCTTCAACTCAGCCAACAGCTGTCGACACCCCCAGTGCTTAGCCACCGTCGTCAAGCGCTGATGGTACAGACAAAAAGCCGGTCCTTTTCGGATTGCGGAAGTCGAGGCCGAAGTTATTGTGTTTAAAACTCGCCGGAAAGTTTATAAATTATTGCCGTCGAGTTGTTAATTAATGTCGACCAGTACAGACCGCGCTCTAAGTTAAAACGCGAATGGAAACCACGGTCCAGCTTTGTTTTCCTGGGTGGGAGCGCGTTTGCGGAACGGCCATTAAACCAGGAGTCGGACAATCGGCCGTTCGGACACTGAACGTCCAGTTTTGCTGACCAAAGCGAAGGAAAAACTTTCATTCAATCCGCAGCCCGAGGCTCATTGGGCAACCAATATCGAACTTCTTAAACGCTTGCCGGAAGGTGTTAAGTTACGATTTCGCTCAAAGCTTTGCCACTTTTCGCTGGAATGGAGATTCTAGGGAAAGTTAAATCGCTTTGAGTGCCCGATGAAATCGATTTTCACTCAGTCTACTTACCCCCTTGACTTAAGTCGTTTATTCCCCAAAGAACATTCATCAAACTTACCTGAAAGCGAATAAAATTAGTTAGCAACTGGAACTGTCTGGTTAAGGTCGGAAATGGCAAATGGAACTCCTTTTCAGGAGATGTTAAAAAAGCCTCAGGCGCAATCTGAATAACGCCCTCTCCAGGCAAGCAGGGACCAAAGTGGGGTAGAATAACCCGATTATTGATAATCTAATAATACATGTTTCCTTTCTCCCTAAATAGTTATTTCTAACCCCACGTTCGCGCCAAATCGGCTTTGAATTTGGAACTGAAGGGAACGGCAATCATAGGTATGCAAATTGGGACGGATGGCATTTGTGGAGGAGGCTTTATTGAAATACCAGAATGCTGTAATCGATGGGGTTTCATTGTGTTCTGGACGCTTTTGAAGAACAGTTGCGATCAATTTTACAATTCTCCATCTGCAACAAGCGGGCTTGTTTTGCCTTCCTGATCCTTTCAACCCAAGAAATGTGTCGATGAAAATCAAATCAGAGAAAAAACAACAGTACCACAGACAGAATATTAGAGCAGAAGAGTGAAATTTCCAAACCCCCCTAATACAACTTCAGACTAAACAACTTTCAACATTTACATCCGGACACAGGGTAGTAAATAACAGCCGTAATGGGTAGTCGTTGGCACCGGCCATTAAATCATGCCAACCACTCGGCCAATTTTGCCAAAAATCGCTCTTTTCGCCGGCGCAATTAAAGAATTTATTGGCATTTTGAGGGCCAATATTTCATGTGCAGACATGCAGTGGGCCCCCGTTTTTACATTCGATCCGATGGCGATTTGACCACAGGAAAAAAGCGATTTTGCAGTTTAAACCAGCGGGAAGTTTTGCATCAGATCTAAAGCTCATTTTATCGTAAACAGCTCCGAGATCCACCCCTCAATGTGCTCCATTCAGCCACTTCATTTACAAAATGTATTGCCGATTAGCATAATTCCCCCTAACATCATGTTGCCCTGCGGGCCCAAGCAGGAAAAATTAATTTCGGGCCAAGACATGAATAAGCCCGTTCCGCGTTTATTCCGATCTCGCTCAGGCGTTCGATCCTGGTCAGATCGAGCTGGTTCAATCTACTTAGGCCGGTGAGTCCTGCGGGAATCGAAAATGTAAATACGCAGGTATCTGTTTTAGTTTACTGCCAGGATATACAGGATCATAGCTGTGTTTTATTGGTTGGCCAGGCCTCAAGAGGCCCATAATTCCAATACCTCTTTTCCTTGGCTGTTGGGGGACTCAACGTTAAAAATGTATGCCGTGTTTTACACATGATCAAAACGAAAAGGGTAAAGTTCGAGCACGATTTATCAGGAATTAAGGGCGCCAACTCGGTTGTAAATTGACGGTTTTTTTCGGGGTTTTGCTGTCTTCGTTGGGTCTAATGGAAATTCAATATCACACAAAAAAACCATTTT